GCACAAGCCGTAGAGCTTCTGCATTCCCATTACCACCTCCACCACAGTCTTCATCGTCCTCTATAGTTCCTGCTCGGATGGTTGACGACAAGAAAACAACAGAGGTTTTCAGAAAGGCTGCTACTGATGATAAGTGGAGTGCTCTACGTGCTTATAGGAGAGCCAAGTGGTTATGCTTTGTTTGTGGAGAGCGATGGGGCAAGGATCATGCTTGCAAACAAGAAGTCCAGCTGCATGTTGTGCAAGAAATGTTGGATTATGTGCAATATCTTCCCTCAAAATTTGCAGATTACTCTGAGATAGAAGCTGTTTCTGAAGCTAGTGCTATGTCCTTGTCTGCTGCAGCACTGGGTGACACCTCTGATACTCCTACCATGACAATGAAGATAAAAATCCAGTTGTAGGGTCGCACCTTGACATTTTGGTTGATTCTGGTAGCACTAACACCTTCTTGAACCGTGTTGTAGCTGAGTTGTTGTCTGGGGTGTTAGACATGCCTGTTTCCATGGTCAGAGTTGCAAATGGCAAGCTAATCCCCTATTCTAAGCAGCTCTTGCAGGGCAAGTGGTCTTGTGGTGGTCACAAGTTTGTCAGTAACTTCAGGATATTTCCCTTGGGCTCCTATGATGGAATTTTGGGCATTGATTGGTTAGCTGCACACAGCCCTATGCAGGTGGACTGGTCTGCTCATTGGCTTGCTTCCCAGCATAATGGTGCTCTCATAACACTGCTGGGAGAACATGCCACCCCTTCTATCTGTGCACTGTTCAGTATGTATGCAATAACTACTGTGACAGATAACACTGTCTGAAGTGCCACCTGAGGTGCAAGTTTTACTTGAAAAGTATGCTTTAGTGTTTGAAGCTCCCTCTGGCCAGCCTCCCAGAAGGCAGTATGACCACACTATTCCCCTTGTTCCAGGTGTTGCCCCTGTCTTCCTGAGGCCATATAGAATTGCTCCTGCTCTGAAAAATGAGATGGAGAGACAAGCGCAAGAGATGTTGGACAATGGCATTATCAGACATAGTAACATTCCCTTCTCCTCTCCTATGATAATGGTACAAAAGAGGACACAACCTGGAGACCAGTGGTTGACTACAGGCACTTAAATACTATCACTGTTAAGAGCAAGTACCCTATACCAGTTATAGATGAGCTTTTGGATGAGCTGGCTGGATCTCATTGGTTCTCTAAACTGGACCTTAGGGCTAGATTTCACCAAATCAGGATGGCACCAGGGGAAGAATATAAAACTGCTTTTCAAACACACATGGCCACTATGAGTTCCTGGTTATGTCCTTTGGTCTCACTGGAGGCCCAAATACTTTTTAGTTTGCTATGAATAGTGATCTAAAACCAGTCCTTAGACGCCATAATGGAAAGAAATTTGTTCTTGTTTTCTTTGATGACATCCTGGTCTTTAGTGTCACATATTCTCAGCACCTGCAACATTTGGAGGAAGTTTTGCAGCTCCTTAAGAAACAACAGTGGCAAGTTAAGTTGTCTAAGTGCACCTTTGCACAACAACAGGTTGAGTACTTGGGACATGTTATTCGTGGACAGGGGGTTGCTACAGACCCAACTAAAATTGACACTATTCAGGATTGGCTTGTTTCCGTGTCTGTCAAAGAAGTCAGAGGATTCCTTAGCCTGGCTGGATATTATAGAAAGTTCATTAGACTTTTTAGGGTGATCAGCAGGCCCCTCACAAATCTTCTCAAAAAGGGGGTGTTCTTTCACTGGACAGAGATTGAGCAGCAGTCTTTTGAGGCCCTCAAACAAGCTCTTGTTTCAGCACCTGTTCTAACCCTTCCTAATTTCTCCAAGAAGTTTGTGGTTGAAACAGATGCCTGTGATGTGGGTATTGGCGCAGTTCTCATGCAAGATGGACATCCATTGGCTTATGTGAGTAAGGCTTTGGGCCCCAGAAATCAGACTTTGTCTGTCTATGAGAAGGAGTACCTGGCTATACTGCTTGCTGTTGACCATTGGCGTCAGTACTTACAGTTGTCTGAATTTGTTATCCGGACAGATCAGCGTAGCCTGTCTAACTTGTCTGAACAAAGGTTACATATATACAGTGTGGCAGCAAAAAGCACTTACAAAGCTCTTGGGGCTCAGTTACACTATCTGTTACAAGAAAGGCACTAACAATGGCGCAGCCGACTCGCTGTCACGCAGGCCACACACTTCTTCTGAAACTCTCCCTGAGATTTTGGCTGTGTCGTCAGTACAACCACTTTGGTTTACAGAAATATTGGGCAGCTACGAGAACGATTCCTTCTGCGCTGGACTACTGCAACGCCTAGCAACTGACTCTGAAGCTGACAAGAAGTTTTGCTTAAAAGCTGGGTTACTTCGATTGGATAACTGCATCTGGATTGGTAATGTACCCGCCTTACATCAGAAGGTCGTCAGTGCTTTTCATGATAGCCCAGTGGGTGACCACTCTGTTTTCCCTATCACCTACAAAAGAGTTCGCCAACTTTTTCGCTGGGCAGGAATGCGAGGGTTTATCAAACAGTTTGTGCGCCATTGTGTGACCTGTCAGCAGGCTAAACCTGAACGTACACCCTACCCAGGGCTTCTCCAGCCGCTACCTGTCCCCAACATGCCATGGGAAATGGTCACCATGGACTTCGTGGAGGGCTTACCCACTTCTGGTAGGTATAATTGTTTGCTAGTGATCATTGACAAGCTGTCGAAATATGGCCATTTTGTTCCACTGCACCATCCCTTCACCGCCCAAACTGTTGTCGAAGCCTTTCTGAATTCAGTTTACAAGCTTCATGGAATGCCACTGTCCATTGTATCTGATCGCGATCGTATCTTCACTAGTCTCTTCTGGAAGGAACTCTTTACCAGGTCTGGGATCTTGTTGCGAATGAGTTCTGCTCGCCATCCTCAATCAGACGGCCAGACAGAGCGTGCAAATCAACAAGTGGAGTGTTTCCTTCGCTGTTTGTCAGTGCTCATCCTCCTCGTTGGGCTCAGTGGATACCGTTTTGTGAGTTTTGGTATAACACCAATTGGCATTCTGCCACCGGCTCCACCCCGTTTGAGATCATCTATGGACATCCTCCGCGCCACTTTGGGCTGACAACTGATGATGCAATTCAGTCTGAAGATCTTCAGCAATGGCTCTCGCAGCGCCAAGTGGTCATCGATTCTGTCCGCCAACATCTGTTGTGTGCTCACAGCGCATGAAAGCTCAAGCCGACAAGCACCGTACAGAGCGTACTTTCAGTGTGGGTGAATCTGTTTTCTTGAAGCTCCAGCCCTACCTCCAGTCGTTTGTTGCTCCTAGGGCTAATCACAAGCTGGCTTTTAAGTATTATGGCCCCTTCAAGATCATTGCTCGAGTGGGAGAGGTCGCTTATCAGTTGGACTTGCCTGCTACCAGCCGCGTGCACCTAGTGTTTCACGTTTCCTTGCTGAAGCGAGTTTTGGCGCCAGACTGTCAGGTTCGTTCTCAATTGCCACTCCCTGACGCACATTTGCAAGTTCCTGAACAGGTGTTGCAGCAGCGAGTGGTCCGTCGTGGCAATGACTCGGTTGTCCAAGTTCTGATCTGATGGAGTGATTCTACCGAGGACATGGCTACATGGGAGGACAAAGAAGCCCTCAAGCAGTTGTTTCCTCGGGCGCCGGCTTGGGGACAAGCCATTTCTAAGGGAGGAGGGGTTGTCAACGATCAAGAGCCTCCAGGTGAACAGGTGACGCGGGAAGCTGCAGTTCAAGCTTCAGCCAGGCCTCGTCGCAAGCCTCAGCGGTCCGCTAGGCTTGCTGGGCCTGAGTGGGCTCATATCTCTGGAACAGATACTTAAACAGGTGTGTGTATGTGAGTAGGGCCAGGCTGGCAGAACGGCTAGAAGCCGGGGCAGGGCCTGTGCGCGTAGCTCAGGAGATCTCGATCCCCTTCCCTGATCCCCAAAATTGTACCTCGAATGTTTGAATTCCGCCATGATCGATGAGTAGAGAGTTGTAGTGCTGACAGTGAACACAACATGTAACATTGAACAAACGCACGCCCTTCCATCCTTCGTGAGCGACCTAGCCTTCCAGAGTGAAAGCTTCTTTGCAGGTTTGTCCATGAGTGGTTGCACGTCGATCTTCCAGAGCTTGAAGCTTTAATGGGGAAGGCCTAGGAACTTGCATGGTAGATCCAAGATTGGGCAGGCCAGCAGAGGGCCAACCTTGCCCAGCAAAGCCTAATCGCAGCAGATATGAGATGCAGCACTTTTCTTTTTCGTAGTTTACCGTTAGGCCAGAGGCGGCGCAAACTGCCGCGGATGGCCTCAAGCTCAGCACAGGGTTTTGTGAAAACCACTACGTCGACAGCAAATGACGAAGGACGTGCTGCCTTCAATCAAAGAACGGGAGATGGAGAGAGTTTCCCTACAAGTTAGTAGTACTACTTGAAGTCAAACTCTGGTACTAGGAGATTAACACATGCAGTTCAGCGTATTTCCAGGCTCAGTGGGTAAAAATTCAATTTCTTATCACATGCATGGATCCGTTTACGTCGGAAAGGATAAATATAAAAAGGGAGACTTGACTAGAGCAAGGAGATGCGATCAACTAGGAAGATACTAGTATCAAATTGTACAATTAATGAAACAAGAATCTGAACAAGGAACTGCTTGGATATAACAAGAGTTTAGGGATCCGTAGGATTCAGGCAGCCAAACAGGCGCTTTTGAGAATGGGAGGATCCATTCATTAAATGGATACTCTCGCATGCCATGAATGCATGCATGCCTGTTACACTAGGAGGAATATGGCCATATGCATGTATCTACTATGGGGCCCTTATGTCAGTCCCATGTACGCCAACCATGGATAGAACTGTCTGTATTTGTAGCAAATTGTTCAGGGAAAGTCAAATGATCTTTCTAGTTTTCTATTGGTCACATTAGCTGCAACCAGCTACGTAGATCGAACTTATAAGTTATAAGAAGGGCACATATCCAGAGGCGAACTAGCTTGGCTGGGCAACAATGTCGCATCAACAGCCAACTGGTACTGGTACTGGTAAGCCCCTAAACCCATCCTCGTCTCCTTTTGCATTAGTAGCATGCATACAGTATATGCTTTATCGCTCACATGCCTGCTAACATCATACCTGAAAACTCAATAATCCATACAACTTTCTTCTATTTTCTACAAGATCCAGTGGGCTATGAGTTCCAAAGGCCGCGATTTCAGATTCGTGCTCCTCAACCTGGTGGTATGTCTCGTATTCGTTTGATGATCTGTGCTAGGGAGGGCAAATATATACCAGGAAGACGTTATTTACAGTATGCAATATGAGAAGTTTTATTGTATATATATAGTCTAAACTGCTGTTAGCACCGAAGTAGCATGTAGGTACCTACCGAGGTACTGCTTGATCATTTAACTGAACCCAAATAATAAGAGCTGTCTGGAAAAAATTGCTCGGCTATAAGCTTCCATTAGCATCTTTTTTCTTCTTCCTCAGATCTGGTTCTTTCAGGGGTTGGGCAGCAACAAAACTCCGCACCAATTCACCAATATGGCAAATAATACAATATATGATTTATCAATGACATGCGAATTCAAATAATTCGTACATCTCTTTCTGTTGTCTAGAAGGTCCATCGGAAGTTAAGACTGATACTCAAGATGGTCAACAGGAAGCAAAACAAAAGTTCCAAGGTATGTTTCTCATTTGCTACCAAGGTGATCTAACTGCTACATTATTAAGTTGAAACCAGCAACCTAGAGGGGAAAATCTGCTCGACTATAAGCTTCGGTTAGCATCTTTTATTTCCTCTTCCTCAGATCTGATTCTTTTAGGTGTTGGTCATAGTAACAAACCGCTCAACTTGTAGCGAACTTTGAGAATAGTTCAAGCAACAAGTAACCAGCAGAGTAGAATAATAACATGCACAATAGACACCATAATTTACGTGGTAAACCTCCTCGATGTGAAGTGTAAAAATTGCGGGACCAACCGGTGCACTACAACATGTACAATTAGCAAAATGGGTACAATGTAGTTTGATGTAGAAACTCTAGAGAATCACAACAGTAGCAACACAAGTTACACCTAGTCAACACAACCAACCACTCCTAACAGGAGCAAAACAAAAGGTAACTAAAAATTGTAAGCAAATAATCAAAACTTTATGCCCCCTTCGGTTCATATATGACTCTTCTTAAACGGCTTAACCAAATTGGGTAAAGCTTGTTAGGTATGTAGTATGGTGAGTACTCAACCTGTTGTCAGAATTTCAAATCAATTCCGACAACATTTGCGCCTTAGACTGACAATATCCAAAGACTGCTCACCTATGAATTCTCGGCAAACAGATCTGACTAAACATCTTTTTAAAACTGGTGCTCCAATCAAGCCATCAATCCTCAAAACCAACCAGCCAAATTGAAGTGCTCTTAGTGTGGAACAAAATCACCAAGTTTGAATTCAATCCAACCACCTGAGTCTTCGACGAACAAGTTTGGTAAAGATCAACAAGGAGCTTCCAATAGAGACAGAGTTTATCTCTTCTCTCTTGGTTGGGTGTGGGTATTCTGCTGCTATCTCTTGCTCTCTCGCGAGAGCCACTGAGGTCTACTCATGGGATCAAGTTGGTTAAAGTGAACTCCCTTTGGTCCCAAATACATCCAAAGTAGTCATGGAGAAGATCTTAACATGACAACATTTTCCACCGGTTCCTACGAACGCATAATTAAGGCCTAATAAAATTGTGTGCTATGAAAGTATTAATTACACATGTTTATTCATATGGCTCTCACACATCCAATCAATATATTTAAGAAGACTTGACGGACAAAGTTTTGGGTTTTGACAAGTTCTCCAAATTGACAAGTATTTGTAGATCAGTTTGTCTAATTCACATCTAGATGTTTTTCAAAGATGTCACATCTAAGCTTCCACAAATACCTAATGCAGCAACAAGAAACAAAAAAAACTAAGGACAAAAAAATAGACCACAAACAAAGTGGATATCAGCTTGTCACATCTAGATGTGTCATAACTATGTCACATCTAGATGTGTCCCAGACAAACCCTTTGTAGATTGGAGGGAGTCCCTTTCTAAGCCACCCAAAAAACCGAGCAAATAATAATAATATCGTTACATACTCCTAGCTCTCTCAGAAATATAGGGCTATTTTGATTGGCCAAATTAATTCATGCCTTCGTGGCGCATTCCTTATAAACATTTATTAATAATTACAAAAAGATAATGAAAGGATTGTTTGAATAAAAATCGAATCATGCATCTTCATGTCACGTAATTAAAATGCATTTGGATTTATTGTTGCTAGATCCTGAAATGAAGTATAGTTTTCGAGTAAACACAAGAAACGAATCCTGTTTTATCTCCACCTGATGCATGTTTTGCTGCTAATTATGTAGCTGTGCATCCTTTTTTTCTTGAGGAAGAATTAATCTCATGCCATCGGGCTTGTGTGCATGCAGTATATGTCAACGCTCTGAAACGAGACCTGGAGGCCATCGAGGAAAAACTACAGGACCTGCAACAAGCTATTAATGTAGATGGAGGTGGAACCGTCCGCTTCGAAGGTCTTGAGGTGTCATTATCCGCCATCTTTGTTGTTGAGTCCTCCAGCACGGCCGAGGTGAACTTCATTGTTATGCGTCATGACCTACACGTCTATATATGTTCAGGATACCAATATTATGGCAGACGACACTTACCGTGTCACAGAAAATTCGTTGATTTACTTGAGCATTGATCACAACCTTGTCTCTCTCTCTCTCTTTTTGTTTCTTTTGCGAAAAACAACCTTGTCTATTTGGCGCAACAGATCGCGCCGGTAATCAGAATACTTCGTGGCCTATGAGGAGAGGCAGTGCGTTTATATTACTATATATAAGGGAAAGATACACTTTCGAGCTCTAACTTCTCCACTATAATTACTTCCTATGTTTATGAAACAAAGTCTATAACTTTTTTTTAAAGCCAGACAATGTAAAATGTGACTAAGTTTTTAGAAAAACTATCAACAAATATATTACTATAAACATAAAAATATATTTAATGTTATTTAACGAAATTAACTTTATATATTGTATATGTTATTAATGATGACTAAAAACTGCGTCAAACTTTGCTTATGACTTAAAAAAAACTTCCTTGAGAAACTTTAGTGATCTAAACACTCTTATATTTCTTTACGGAGGGAGTACTAGATTACATTGCAAATTTGGTATGTTGTGCTTGTGCGCGTGCCTGCACATGTGTCAAGATGTTCAATACGTACTGTTTACTCATAAGCATGGGTTGTGTTGCTGCGTGAGACGTGTAAGTCGGCCTAGACCAGTAGAAGATGGAGACGATGAGTGGCGCCTAATAGATGCAGGTCACGTAGATAAAATTCTCCTTTCCATTAGCAGAATAGAGAACAATAGATTTGACAGTTTCTGTTTGTGTGCAGGATGTCGTGAAGTACCAGGTGAAGTTCAATAATGGTGAGGACTACCCAGCTAAACCACCATCAGTCGTCTGGCAGGACTGTCCGGTGGAACCCGAGGTTTTCATTTTGTCTCTCTACTAGTGTTAGCCATAGTGAGCACGATTTTCATTCCTTGAAGTGTCGTTATTAACACCGTTACAATACCAGCCCAAACTCGAGCATATTTCATCAACAAAGCTGGGCGATGTACTGACTGAAGTGAAAAATGTGATCGCGAGGGACCACGGAAAAGGCAAGAAGAAATCCGAAATGGCTTGAAATTAATGGCAAGAAGAAATCCGACCGCGATGGTAAGGATTGAAATCAGATCTCTACCTGTGTTTGTGTCTCCTCTACATTGATCATCATCAGCCGCACTGTATGATCCTGCGACACAATATGTTTATGATTCCCGGAACTCCATCATTTATTCTGTAATAATTCGTGGCAGGGATTAATGCCTAAGACTTAATTTCATACATTATGATATTATCGTGATTTGTTATTATCACTAGTACAAATCGGGTCATTGCACACTGGTAAATGGCTCTCACACAGTTTACCAAACTGTCTCTATGCGTGGGTGGCAATGTGGGGTCTATCGCACACGATTTAAAATGTCGTGTGTGAAGGGGGCTGAAATCGCACACGGTTAGCTTTGTCAAACCGTCTGCGTAGATGAGAGCCTTCACAAACGGCTTTTCTCATTTTAACGTGTGTCTTTCGTTAAGATCGTAAACATTGAATAAGCAGAGCTGTTCCATACCTCCAGATCTGCTTAATCTTCTGCCTGTTCATAATCATCTAGCATTCTTGGAAGAACCCTTCTCATGGGAGGAGATTGATGCAGTTGTGAAAGATCTCCCGTCAAACAAATCACCAGGACCAGATGGCCTTAATACTGATTTTATTAAAAAAAATGTTGGCCCATTATCAAGCAGGATTTCTATGACTTGTGTAATCAATTTCACAGAGGGGAAGTATGTCTACAGAGTATCAATAATTCTTTTATCACCTTAATTCCTAAAAAGGCTGGTGCATCCACAGTTAATGACTATAGTTCCATATCCCTACTCAGCTGTACGATTAAGTTGATTACAAAACTTCTGGCAAATAGATTGCAATCCATCATCTTATAATTAATTCATGCCAATCAATATGGTTTCATCAAAACTAGATCTATACAGGACTGCATAGCCTGGGCTTATGAATATCTTTTCCAATGTCATAAAGGCAAGAAACCAACTGTGGTGTTGAAATTGGATTTTGAGAAGGCATTCGATAAGATGGAACATGGCATGATTCTCGCAATTATGAAAAGGAGAGGGTTTGGGCAGAAATGGTGTTCATGGATAGAACAAATCCTAAGCACTGACACCTCCGCTGTGTTGCTCAATGGAGTTCCTGGAAATGATTTTAAATGTAGAAGAGGTGTACGGCAAGGGGATCCCTATCCCCATTACTCTTTGTGCTTGCTGCAGACTTCTTACATACTATCCTCAATGATGCTACGCACAGAAACATCATCCAACCACCCATTCATTTTGGGTGTGTTTGGTAGGGTGCATGAGGGTAAAAGTTCCCAATCCGACCCACTTTTGCTTGTTTGGTAGGGTGCATGAGCTCACATGGGCTATGCTCATGTGATGCATAAAAGGGCCCTTAGCTATGCTCATCTCATGCACCCCAGACAGGGTGCATGGAGGCAGCCATGCTGGCCTTGACACTTGTCCCCACCCACTAGACCCAGACCATGTCCAGATATGTTTATATTTTCAAAAAATGTTCAGAATTTCAAATTTTGTTTAAATTTTCGAAAAAGTTTAGAATTTCAAAAAAAAATTGAAAAAAGTTTAGGATTTCAAAATTGTTTAAATTTTCAAAAAACTTTCATAATTCCAAATTTTGTTTGAATTTTCAATAAATGTTCAGAATTTTTTTAAAATCAACAATGTTCGGAATTTCAAAATAAAATCAAAAAATGTTTGAATTTAAAAAAAAATCAGAATTTCAAATTTTATTTAAATTTTTATAAAATATACAAATTTCAATTTTTTCTTTAAATTTTCAAAAAAGCTCGGAATTTCAAATATGTTCAAATTTTCAAAAAGTTTAGAATTTCAAATTTTATTATAATTTTCCAAAAATTATTTAGAATTTTAAAAAAAATCAAAATATGTTTAAATTTGTGTTCATATTTTTCCAATTTTGTTCATCATTCAAAAAAAATATTCGAAATTGGAAATTGTTCAGCGTGTCTAAACACATGCATGCTGCCAAACAAAGTCTCAGCTCAGCATGTCTCGACGCATACATCGCTGCCAAACAACAGCAACTGCATGGACTCATCATGTCTACACTCAGCATGTATGGTTCTTGCTCTGATTTTCCCATCCTGCAATATGCGGACGACACCTTGATCATCATGCCAGCCTGCCCAACACAGCTGGAACAACTTCATGACTTAGTGAATATTTTTTCAAAGGCTTCTGGACTAAAGGTTAACTATCAAAAATCTAGCATATTGCCTATTAATGTCCCTGATGAACACATGCAACAATTGTCTACGTTATTGGGCTGCACCATCGGCACCTTCCCATTTACTTATTTGGACACTCCACTCAGCTTCAACAAGCCAAGGATGGAATTCTTTATGTTTCTCATCAACGGAATTCAGAAACGGCTAACTGCATGTTCACAGTTCTTAAGCTATGATGGCAGGTTACTTATAGTCAATGCAGTCCTCTCATCCCTGCCTACTTTTATAATGAGCTGTTTACTCTTATATAAAGGCATAATTGAACAGGTCGACAAATACAGGAGGCACCTGTTTTGGAGATGCAAGGATTTGGAAAAGAAAAACCCTCCCCTCGCCTCTTGGGATTTGATTTGCAGACCCAAAGAGCAAGGAGGGCTGGGTATTCTCAATCTACACCTTCAGAACACTAGTCTACTTCTCAAAATGGTCCATAAATTTATTAATCGCATGGACATTCCATGGGTTAGTCTCATTTGGGAAGCCTATTATGACCAATTGGTTTTCACATAGACAATCTGAAGAATAGCTCTTTCTGGTGGAGAGATTGCATGAAAATATTTCATTTATACAAGGATAATGCCTCTGTTACTCTTCAAAATGGTCAAACTCTGTAATTCTGGAATGATAGATGGAATGGAGATGGACCAGCTAAGATTCAAGTCTGGCCTCATTTGCACTCCTTTGCTGTGAAACAAAGTATAACCATCTCTGAACTTTATCAAACGGAAGACCTTGCAGCACTTTTCCACTTACCACTCTCTGAAGAAGCATATGAGCAGTTTCAGGAATTTGAACTATTTATCCAACAATTGCTACTCAATGAGGATACTGATCGTTGGCAACTACCAAAAGGGGAAACACATTTCAAAGTTTCAACAGTTTACAAACTGCTTAATAGTGGGCATGAAGTACTGCCAGTGATCAAATGGCTCTGGAAGACATGCTGCCAGTTAAAGCACAAAAAAATTTCTGGCTGGTGGCAAATGACAGAGTAAACACCAGATCTCTCTTACAAAGAAAACTCTTTTTTCTACAGGATTACACTTGTGCTTTATGTAATTTGCAGGTACTAGAAACTAGAGATCACCTGTTCTTTCATTGCCAATTTGCCCAACTATGTTGGACATATCTATATCCCAATTGGAGACCAACACACCTAGGTCTCCAAGATGAAGTTACTCATCTTAAGGCACTTCTAAATGTACCATTCTCGTTGGAGATCATCATGTTGGTGTCTTGGGCTATCTGGACCACAAGGAATGACATCATCTTCCAAAGGATCCCCCCAAGCCTTTATGCTTGCAGGCAAAAACTTAAGGACGAACTCAAGTGGATTTTGTACAGAGCCAAGAGGTAGGAATACAATGGATTTGAAGACTGGGTCAACAACCTCACATGAGCAAAGAGGAAGGAATACAGTGGATTTAAAGACAGAGTTAACAACTTCAGATGGCTGTTTCTTGTTGTATTTTTGTATTCCTTTGTATTTCTTTTATTCTTTTGTATAGCGTTTTATTTCTTCAGTTTTACTTTTCTGCGGACTTCACTTGTATAGCTCTTTTTTGTTTTCTTAAGACAATTTATCTGTATTTTATTTACCAAAATTAATAAAAATACGCAGCAGCGTCCTGCTGTTTCCCTCAGAAAAAATAATAAACGTCTAACACGCTTTGACTGTGAAAACCTGTATGTGATGTGTCTCTTTTTGAACAACAAGCTGGTGTTGCACCTACTAGCAGAACCATGCTAGCAGATGTATCCCAGCTTTGACAGAAACTATATTTCAACATTTTATCCAAAAACAGTACCAACATTTCACCCATAATTCAACATTTCAGTTGCTTCCCGGTCCACCGATCAAGCACGGCAGCGGGTTTCGATAGGGGGACCCCTTGTCCCCCCTCCTCTTTGTCATTGTGATTGACCCCACTACTAGGAAAAACACTACCAGTACCGTAGGTTTTTGCGTGCCAGTAGCGCGGTTAAGGTGCTACAGCTAAATTTTAGCAGTACTGCGTTTTCTACCCCGCGCTAGAGCTAAAAAGTTAGTAGTAGCGCATGCCATCCACGCTACTACTATTCCTAACCCACGCTACTGC